TTCTCCTCCTCCTCCTTCTCCTCCTGCTCCTGCTCTTCGTCATCCTCCTTCTCCTTCTACTCCTCCTCCCCCTTCTCCTACTCCTCCTGCTCCTCGTCCTCCTCCATCCTCACTTCTCCCTCCTCCGCTCGAGGGCGACGACGACGACGACGACGACGAAGACGACGACGACGACGACGACGACGACGACGACGACGACGACGACGACGACGACGACGACGACGACGCCGCCGCCGCCGCCGCCGCCGTCGTCGTCGTCGTCGTCGTCGCAGCCCGAGGGCCTCCTGCAGGGGGCCTGCCACAGCCGCGCCGGCATCGCTCGGCGCAGCCGCGGCGGCGTCGCTGCCTCGCTCGGCACGCCGTCGCCACCGCGCCACCGCGCCCGTCTGGGGGAGGAAGTCGTCGTCGTCGTCGTCGTCGTCGTCGTCGTCGTCGTCGTCGTCGTCGTCGTCGTCGTATTCGTCGTCGTCCTTCTCCTTCCTCCCTCCAACCTCCTCCCTCATGTCTCCTCATTCGCATCGCGGAAGGATCCCGTCCCGCCATGCAAGGGGGAACTGGACGTGGAAGGAGAGGAACGACCCAGTCCTCCGACGTCGTGATTTCTTCACGACATCGATCTCGAAGGTCTGGACCCCTTTTCCTAGGGCGGCGAAGTCTATGCATATCTACTGCTCCCTGGCCAGGCCCATCCTGAACCCTCCTGGGCCCAGGAAGGGCCTGGACAGGGGGCAGTGGAAATGTATAGATTTCGTCGCCCGAACCCTGAGACAACTTTTCATCCCAAGCCTTTTTGTCGACGGTCCCGATGTCTGGTGAAGGCGCCCCGAGGCGGAAAACATGCAAACGCCGCCCCCTCACTTCGTCTGCCGAACTTGGGGCGATTTCGCAAGTGGGGCGGAACTTTCCGCCCTAATTAGCCGTCGCTGTTTCCACAACATTTTGCGCGATTGCCCGCCCTACGTTGCTGATGCGGGAATGTTCGCCTAGGTGTTCGCATTGTTTGGGATGCATTTCCGACACAATTCTAAATCGGAAGATCGGCGAAAAACCTGCGGGTCCGAAGTCAGGGCCGCCGTGACTCTTTCGCAACGAGGGGAGCTGGGGGAAGTGGAACGTCACGAACGACGAACATATCTGCATCTGCGCCCTCGCGATCTGGATTCCGGGGGGGCGATCCCACGGATACGCGGTCGCGCGGATACGTTCCGCGCGGAGCATCCGCGAACAAAACGCCCCGTATCCGCAGGGTCGCGGCCTAGGAGCCCAGCCTGCGAGGCCGTGGATACGGATATGTTCTTCGCCCACGAAAGGTGGAGGTACAACAAGACGGCATAAACATAAACTTTCGGAGGTCCGCGCGGATCTTTTGGATCTGCGCTGGACCCCCCTCCCTGGCGCGCGGAGCGCACTGGGGGCTGCGTCGGAGGCGACAGTAGAGGGGCCCAGCGCCGATCCAAGAAATCCGCACGGAGCTCCGAAAGCTTGTGTATGCCATCATTCCTCCTTTCCTCCTTCGAGGGATGGAAATGCCCTGCGGTCAAGAAGACCATGCCCTCTGGGACTGGGTCGGGCATCCCCTCCTACAGGGGGATTTTGGTCGAAAAATAATGATCCTGGCGAACGACCCAACCATTTGCAAGTGTGAGAACCGCAAGGGTGCGCCAAAATGCGGCGGGGCCGCCATGCGAACCCTGCCACTGGGGCCTTCGGAAGAACTCCCTATGGGGCCACGAACCGTGTGCGGGGTGCGCCAAAATGGGGTGGGGCCGCCATGCGAACCCTGCCACAGGGGCCTTCCGTGGAGCTCCCTATGGGGCCACGAGCCGTGTGCGGGGTGCGCCAAAATGGGGCAGGGCCGCCATGCGAACCTTGCAACTGGGGTTTTCGGTGGAGCTCCCTGTGGGGCAACGAGCCGTGTGAGGGGTGCACCAAAATGAGGCGGTGGTGCCACGCGAATCCTGCCACTGGGGCCTTCGGTGGAGCTCCCTTTGGGACCACGAACCGTGTGAGGGGTGCGCCAAATGGCGCGGGGCCGCCATGCGAACCCTGCCACTGGGGCCTTCGGTGGAGCTCTCTTTGGGGCCACGAACCGTGTGAGGGGTGCGCCCAAATGTGGCGGGGCCGCCATGCGAACCCAGCCACTGGGGCCTTCCGTGGAGCTCCCTGTGGGGCCACGAACCGTGTGAAACATGCGCCCAAATGGGGCGGGGCCGCCATGCGAACCTTGCCACTGGGGCCTTCGGTGGAGCTGCCTATGGGGCCACGAAGCGTGCGAGGGATGCGCCCAAATGTGGCGGGGCCGCCATGCGAACCCTGCCACTGGGGCCTTCGGTGGAACTCCCTGTGGGGCCACGAACCGTGTGAAACATGCGCCCAAATGGCGCGGGGCCGCCATGCGAACCCTGCCACTGGGGCCTTCGGTGGAGCTCCCTATGGGGCCACGAAATGTGCAAGGGGTGCGCCAGAATGGGGCAGTGGTGCCACGCGAACCCTGCCACTGGGGCCTTCGGTGGAGCTCCCCCTATGGGGCCACGAAACGCTGCACTGGGTGGATGAAACGCAAGGGAGGAGGAGGGGGAGGGGAGGCAGCGGGAGGAGAAGGAAGGACGGAAGGAGGACGCGGGCGCTGTCTCTTCAAAACGAAGACCCAACACTACAGGATGGTTGGGAACGATAGCAGCTGACGACGACGCTCCGAAAATTTGCGATAGTGACGACTGTCCAGACTTTGAACTCCCGTGACACTGAGCGCGGTACGGACCATCCCACTGGGACCTTCGGTGGAACTCCCCGTGGGTCCACGAACCGTGTGAGGGAGAGATAGAGAGAGAGAGAGAGAGAGCAAGCCGTGCACGTCCAGGGTGCATTGGCAGTGAAACGTGCGAGGCTGTGCTCGCGCCGGCGCGCCAAAGCAGAAGCGCCAGGCAGCCTTGCGCCACGCGCGCGCAGACCCAGTCAGTGCCTGTTGTAGAGTTGCTTGTCCGCCAGCTGCTTGGCATGCCAAGTCGTAAACACACCGGTTCCAAGTGTTTCTGGGCCGGCCGCGCCTACGGGGCCCCGCGGGCGGGCTAATGTGCACCTCCCTGGCGTGAAGACGCAGCGCCTCACTGCGCTACCATCTGGTTGCCGGGCGACGTTTCCCATCAGGACCAACTGTCTGTACGCCAGCAAAGAACTCAGCTTGCCGCAACCACATGTGGCGCGCACGGACTCATTGGTGATGTGACTCACATACGAATGCCCTATGCCAGCCACTCTTCGGAGGCACCGTGCTTGGAAGGCGTCCAGCTTGTTTGTCTCGGCCTTGTTGAGCCACACGGTGTGCAAACAATACGTGAGTTTGGATACAATGCATGCTTCAAATATCCGCACCTTCCTTCGCAATGGAATATTGCAGTGCTTCCAAACCTTGCAGAGCGTGCTGAAATCTGCCGCTGCCATGCCCAAGCGTCTGCTCAGCTCGGGGCCGCTCCCGCCGCTGGCAGATAGGAGGCCGCCCAAATAAACCATGCTCTCCTTGCACGGCACCACTGCGCCGCCGGGTTTTGTAAGCGCGGTCTGGCACCTAACAGGCAGGGCCTCTATCTTGCTCCAATTAAACATCAATCCGTAATGCTGCCCTGCCTCCTGGATGCATTTCATGAGCGCGCCCACGAACTCGTCGTTGGCGCCCACCACGAGCGTGTCGTCCGCGTAGATCAGCTCGCTGACCGGAAGCTGCTCATCTTGCGTAAATCCCTGCCGCGTGAAAACCACTGTGGCGTCGCGCATCAAGACTGTCATTACTATGGAAAACAAATGCGGCGATAGCGGGCAGCCCTGTGAGATACCGTACTCCTGCGGCCAAGATGCGGACACTGCTCCGGCCTCTCGTACCCGGAACGATCTATCCGTGTAGATTGACCGTACACATTCTGCAAATGGTGCTGGCACGCCGAAGCGGAGTAGAGCTTGCAATAAACCCTCTGGCGACACACTGTCGAAGGCCTTCGCCCAATCCAGCGCTAGGAAGATCAGCCGGTCGTAGCGGGACTCCAATGTGGCATCGATCATCCTCCGGGCGACAAACATGGCGTCTGATGTACCCCGGCCGCTCCTGAAGCCGTACTGCGTGTCCCAGATACAACGATCTGCTCCTGCGTCCTTCAGCCGAGCAAGCAAAATCATGGCGTAGAGTTTGTACCCAATCGGTAGCAAAGAGATGGGTCTGTAGTTGGCGCAATCCGCAACGTCGCCCTTCTTGAAGATCGCTGCTACCAAAGCTTCGTGCCACGCTGCGGGGACGGACTGTTCGGCCAAGCACCTGTTGCACAACGCCGTAGCCCATTCCACTGCCGGGGAATCTGGCACGCAAATCGTCTTCCAGAATTCCGCCGGGATGTCGTCACCACCCGGGGCTCTGTTCCGCTTGAGTTTGCGGGCTGCCTTGCACACCTCCACCGTGCTGATTCGACCGCACTCAACAGGCAGCGCCGGGCCAATGGGGAAAGGGTCGTCGACGACGGTCGTCGGCCGCACGGCCCATTGAACCGTGGAGAAATACTCCGCCAGAGTTTCGGCTCTCTTGTCGCTGTCCACTTGCTGCGGTGCCAAAATCGAAGCGGCGGTGCCATGCGGACCCTGCCACTGGGGCCTTCGGTGGAACTCCCTATGGGGCCACGAACCGTGCGGGGGGGGGGGGGAGAATGGGGCGGTGGTGCCATTCGAACCCTGCCACTGGGGCCTTCGGTGGAGCTCCCCCTACGGCCACGAACCGTGCGAAGGGTGCGCCAGAATGGGGCGGTGGTGCCATGCGAACCCGGCCACTGGGCCCTTCGGTGGAGCTCCCCATGGGGCCACGAACCGTGCGAGGGATGCGCCAGGATTGGGCGGTGGTGCCATGCGAACCCTGCCACTGGGGCCTTCGGTGGAGCGCCACGAACCGTGTGAGGGGTGCGGGGCGGTGGTGCCATGCGAACCCTGCCACTGGGGCCTTCGGTGGAGCTCCCCCTATGGGGCCACGAACCGTGTGAGGGGTGCGCCAGGATGGGGCAATGGTGCCATGCGAACCCTGCCACTGAGGCCTTCGGTGGAGTTCCCTATGGGGCCACGAACCGTACGGGGGGGGGCGCCAGAATGGGGCGGTGGTGCCATGCGAACCCTGCCACTGGGGCCTTCGGTGGAGCTCCCTGTGGGGTCACGAACCGTGTGAGGGGTGCGCCAGAATGGGGCGGCGGTGCCATGCGAACCCTGCTACTGGGGCCTTCGGTGGAGCTCCCGAACGCTGCCACTGGGGCCTTCGGTGGAGCTCCATCTGGGGCCACGGACCGTGTGAGGGGTGCGCCAGAATGGGGCGGTGGTGCCATGCGAACCCTGCCACTGGGGCCTTCGGGGGAGCTCCCGAACCCTGCCACTGGGGCCTTCGGTTGAGCTCCATATGGGGCCACCGAACCATCTGAGGGGTGCGCCAGAATGGGGCGGTGGTGCCATGCGAACCCGGCCACTGGGCCCTTCGGTGGAGCTCCCTATGGGGCCACGAACCGTGTGAGGGGTGAGCCAGAATGGCGCGGTGGTGCCGTGCGAACTTTGCTATTGGGGCCTTCGGTGGAGCTCCCTGTGGGGTCGCGAAGCGCGTGAGGGCTGTGCCGAAACAGAGACATGCGGAGGGCAGAGGCAAGGAGGGGGAGGAGGAGGAGGAGGAGGAGGAGGAGGAGGAGGAGGAGGAGGAATGAGGAAGGAGACGCGCCGCACCGTCTCTTCAAAACGAGGACCCATCACCACTGGATGGTTGGGACAACATCGTCTGTCCAAAAATTCAAAAAAAAAAAAAAAGGCTCGCTCCCTGATTTGTTTTTGACTACTTTTGAATATTCCTCCTGTAGAGGGACATGCCCGACTTAACTCTGGGGGCGGGGCGCGTGGGGCCGCAGCCCTCAGACCTTGCAAAACTCCTGCGCAAAACGAATTCATTGTTTTGGGTGCTCAGCTGCGACGACGCCTGGGCGAGGACAGAGTCGGGCGAGGAGGAATCGAGAATCTCTGAGATCTGGCGGGTCTGGAGGATGTCTCGGGCGCCGCGGCCTTCTCAGAGCGGCCCAGGATGCTCTGAGAGCTTCCCGAAACGCTCTGGAACGGACTCCTCCCCGTGCCAGCCCCGAGCCCTTCTGCGGCGCATGTCGCCCACGCCTGGCCACCCGCGCCTCTGGCGAGCGAGGCGAGGAGCGAGCGAGGCGAGGAGCGGCCTGCACGGTCGGGCAGCGCGGGCGGCCATCGCACAGCGCCACCGCCAGTACGAGCCGCCGGCTGTGCCGGGAGCGGCCGCCGGCCAGCCGAGTGCGCGCCTCCTCGGCGGGCGACGACGACGACGCCGACGCCGACGCCGACGCCGACGCCGGCGCCGGCGACGGCGACGGCGACGGCGACGACGACGACGAAGACGACGACGAAGACGACGACGACGCCGCCGCCGCCGCCGACGATCACGACGACGACAACTCTGCTCTGGGCGGGCGGGAGGCTCCGAAAGGCTCGGGACGTTGAGGCTTGGGGACTGTGCCGTGGGTAGCGTGTCGCGCCGAAGCGTGGTGGGCCAGAACAGGAGGCGCGACACGCTGAGCCAAAGTTCACGACCGCAACCTACAGCAGGCACATGCGGTAAGAAATCTTGCCAGAAGAGCTCTCGGGGCAAATCTTTCGTCGACTCCGAGCTTTGCGAGGTGCCGCCAGAGCTCTGCGGGCCCGTCGGGAGACGAGAAACTATCGCGGGGCACCTGCTGGCCAGTTCCTTAGTTACTTGGCGTGTTCGGCGCTTCAACTTCGACTCCAGGTCGGCTCACGTCGGCGGACGCTCGACGCAGCATCGACGCACCCCTGGGGATGCCCTGGCTGGTAGGCCAGGGGCGGCAGCCCAGCGGTGCGGCGCCTTGCCGCGCGAGCCGCGGCGGGCGCCCCGCTGGGCCGGCCGCCCCCGGGTCGAGAAGTGGGCACGCGGCATGGCACGAAGTAGCCCTACGACGACGCCAGGACGAGGAAGCAAAATCGGGGGAGGGTAAATCGAGAAACTCTGAGACCCCGCGGTTCTGGAGGCGGGAGGATGTCTCGGGCGCCGCGGCCTTCTCAGAGCGCTCTCAGAGCGCTCCGAGCGCGCTCCGGCACGCTCTGGAACGCACCAGCCCCGTCCGAAAGAGGGCCCGGAGGGAAGCGGGTCCTGGGCCCCCCCCCCCCCCCCCCAGGAGCCGGCCTTCGTCCCGAGTCGTTTCTTCGTCGTCCCCGGGCACGTGGCGGGCCCCGAGAGCCCGAGGGGGGCGAACAAAACCGAGGGCCCTCGAGCCTCGAGCCTGTTCCCCTCAGGGCGCGTTTGCCTCACGGCGAGCGGCTCCTGGTCCCAGCGCAGCACCTGGGCCCGGACCAGGGAGCTCCGGATGGCCGCTTGCGTCGCCATGCCTGCGGGGGGAGAACTGATACCAACGACAAGGCGCCGCGGGGAACCCACCGGCGTGCCACTCCTGAGGAGACACCAGGCCAGCGGACAAAGACGACGGAGCACCACGCTGACGGGCTCCCGACGCCAGCGTGCCAGTAGATACTCTGTCTCCCTCCCAAAGGCCCACGTCCCGGCAGACGCTGTGCGTCCACAGCGCCTGCGTCGGCGAGAGCGCCAGCAGGCCGCAGGCGAGGGCGAAGACCACGGCCAGGAGCTCCAGTGCGGCGGCCCCGACCACCAGGACGATCACGGCAACGACCCTAGAAGGACGGAACAAGGCATACAGTCGAGACGCTGAAGTAAGGACCACTTTGGGCCCAGCAGGGGCTCTGGTTTTCGGGCCCTTCCTGAGATCTGGTAGGTCGGGGAACCAAGTCGTGGCCGAGGCTCACCGTGGTCAGAAAAGCCCCTTCGTTCCTTCTGCAGCGCTCCTCGCGGTAGCACGATGGACGATGACTGCAAACACAAACTGTCAGAGTTCCGCGTAGACTTCCTGGGATCGGCGCTAGAGCCCCCTGGCGGCGCCTCCGGCGCAGCCCCTGGCACGCTCGGCGGGCCAGGCCGAGGGGTCCAGCGCCGATCCCCGAAAGCTTATGAACATGCTTGTTTCCTCCCTCGGGATCCAGATGATGAGGTGGAGCAGCAGCAGGATGCTGATCGGCAAGATCAAGCCTGCCAACGCCATTCTCTCCTCCTTGGTGCTGAGAGACGAGCAGGTCCACGGGACGCAGTCGCTCAGCCGCGCCCCGAGCTCGCAGACGCGGGCGAGGCCCAGCAGGAGCCCCCGGGCCACCTCGAACACGATGGCGGCGGCAACGGTGACGATCGCGAAGACTATCCCCAGCGTGATGTCAATCAGTCCGCCCCAGCCGCTGGGGGGGCGCCTTAGATGGACGGAGAAGGAACTGGACATAAACTTTCGAAGGTCCGCGCGGAGCTCCGAAAGTTTGGGTCGATGCAGGTTTTTCTTCCTCGAGGGTTGGAGGTGGGAGGAGAGAAGCGAGGTGGAGGGGGGGACTACATGCTCGTTCTGGGGACCTTCCTGGAGCCACTCCCTCCACTCGTGCGTCGATGCTGCGTCGAACGTCCGCCGACGTGAGCCGACCTTGAGTCGAAGTTGAGCGCCGAGCTAGGGTCGGACTAGAGTCGAACAGACCCAACAGCGGGGTCCAGCGCCGACCCAAGAAGTCCGCGCGAGTCTCAGCAAGCTTTCGTGAGGCTTCGCCGGCGCGCCGAGGGTGGAACCCAGACGGCTCAGCTTCTCAGAAGGCCAGATGCCTTCGGAGCCTTCTGAGAAGACCCGCCCCCCTCAGACGCCAGGTGGTTCTTCGGTCAGGACTCGGCTCCCCGGTGGCCGTTCGGGGCGATCCGGGCACCCCGGAAAAACGCCCTCGGCGAGGCGCAGCTGCCGGAGCGCATCCCGAGGCTGGAGAACGGCCGAGATCCGACGACGACGCCCGAAAGCCTCGAGCCTCGAGCCCGAAGCTCCCGAAGCCTTCCCCCGCGGGCGTGCCGCCGACAATTAGCTGGGTCCCTCCCAGGAGCGCGAAGACGACCACGCTCCGCGCGCCGCGGCCAGGGCCGCTGTGCTGGCCTTCTCCAGGGCGGCAGGAGGGCGCGAAGATGACCGCGCGTCACGCATCGCGGCGGCGCGGTGCGCGAAGATGCGTGGCCTAGAGTACACAAGTAGAGAGCAGAAATTCCATCCTCAGTATAAGCACCCCGACAAGCGAAGCCGTTGAGCAAACGCACCCAAGGAAGGCATCGAACAGGGCAGGGCTGTTTAGCAAACGCCCAGGACCGTCTGACAAACGCCAATGATCGGGGTTGGGGTGGCTTCCCCTTCCTCGGGGTAGGCACGCCGAGTAAGGAGCCGGCCTTCCCCGCCTGTGCGCAGCGCCGAAGGCTGGTCCACTGGCGTGGCCCGTGGCCTGGTGACTCCGGTGCAGCGGGCCCAGGCCGCCCCAGAGCGCGGAGCACCGCCGGTCGAGGGCCGCGACTGGCCCACCCACCGCCAGGCAAATCGATCGAGAGATCGGCCGCGCGAGTCGCCCTATCGAGGGCCCGAGCACGATGGAGCGAGGAGCGGAAAATGATGTCGTCGTCGTCATCGTCGTCGTCGTCGTCGTCGTCGTCGTCGTCGTCGTCGTCGTCGTCGTCGTCATGAGGGTTTTGTTGTTCAGGCATCTAAGTCGCCCAACTTCGCGCATCGCGCCCCGCGGTGCGCAACGCAAGACCATTTTCGCGCCCTCGCGTCCCGCGCCGCCCCCCCCTGGAGAAGGGCAGCCGCTCTGGCCCAGGCCGCGACGCGCGGGGCGCGACCACCTTTGCCCCACCGTGGGTGATTTCGTTTTGCGAATCATTCCACAGTTGTTACACTCCCACGTGCCTGAGAGGAGGGGGCAACATTCATCCGACCCTCCCTGCCGTCTCCGTCCAGAGACCTGGCCGCAGCAGCATGCATCCAATACATGGGTGCTGCTCATCGGCGTCCGTTTGCTTTCGTTTGCGCTTGCGCCTAACAAAAGAACTGGCGTGGAGCAAGAGGACCTCCAACAGGAATGGGAAGCTATGGAAGTCATTTCCCCAACCCCCGACGCAGGGTGCCAGGGAAGCTGCCAGGGAAGAGCTGGCGCGCCAACTCGAGTTCATAAAACCTGCAGGTGCGCGCATAACTTCGTTTGCGGCCCTTCTCAGTTCGTTGTCGATTTCAAAGGCCTTTCCCCCTCGTTTTACTGCTCTTTGATTATTTTCTGTTGCTCATCGCTTTCCCCCCGCTCGAGTGCGGCTGCCGCCGAAATTCAGGACGCCCGCCCCCCTCGGCCGACTCGACGCGAACGTACTCGGCCATCCCCGCTCCGACGGCGGCGCGCGGCACAGCTGCAGATTCTGGCAGGTGCAGCACAACTGTCGCGCTACCGTGCGGACTTCTTGGATCGGCGCAACTGTTCGGAGCTCCACGCGGATTTCTTGGACCGGCGCTGGACCCCCCCTTCAGGGGCGCCGCCAGAGGCGCCGCCAGGGGGCTCCAGCGCCGATGCAAGAAATCCGCGCGGAACTCCGAAAGTTGATGTTTGCAGTCATCGTGCTACCATGAGGAACGCCAGCCCGCGGACGAGGAGGACCGCGGCTGCGGCTGCGGCCGCCGCCGCCGCCGCTGCCGCCGCCGCCGCCGTCGTCGTCGCCGTCGTCGTCGTCGTGGTGGTCGTCGTGCTACCCTACGACGGGGCTCTTCTGGCCACGGCGAGCCTCGGCCATGAACGGGCTCCCAACGGCCAGATCTGAGGGGACGGCCCGTAGTCCAGGGCGGCGTCTTGGCCGTACACGCGCATGGGCTTGGACCGACGTGCAGGGGCGAAGCGTCGGACGCTCGAGGCGGGCTCGGCCAACCAAGGAGGAGACGGGCCGAGCAGGCGGCAGAACACGTGGCAGAGGGATCGAAGCGAGCGGCAACCTCCTCCAAGCGCGTGAGGAGATGCGCGCCGCCCCTGGAGAGCGGTCCGAATTTAGGTCCTGGTCGCGCGAACGCGGAGGCACCCCATGCGGGGGGACTGCGGGGCGCGGGGGGTCCCAACGCCCCCCCCCCCCCTGGTGAGGCGTCGCAGGGGCCACGATTCCACCCACGGCATGCTTCAAGACCTGGCTGGCCTTCCCCTCTCATGGCGGGTGGCGCAGCGGGACCGCCTCCGCCACCGCCAAGGAGGGGGCCCCCCAACTTCCGAGCTGATGGGCGCCTCCGTCAGGGAGAGTGGTCCTACACGCACGCCACGAAAGAACGCAACACAATGCAAGAATCGATGCAGGGCCGCCTCCATGAAAAAGACGCAGCGAGAGGAAGTCGACTTTCTTGAGAGAGCTGGGCGCGAGATGGTACAGTTCGTGCAGCCGTGCACTTCGCGCTTCAGACAGCGGGCGACGGGACTATACAGCTGCGCGCGACAAATGAGAGTGGACAAGACGGAAGTGGAGTAGATCAGAGTGAGCGGAGACGGGGGGGGCACGAGTGATATTATCTAACACGATCAGTATGCATGCAAGACCACAGACTTCCGGTAGGGCGCCCCCACTGAGTTGTTGCGGCCGCAGCAGGGCCAAGCCAAACTCTGAGGCAACTTGTGGGAACATCTGCTTGGAAAGCTCCCCGGAGCGGCGCAGCAGCAGCAAGGTCAGAACGAGTCTGACCGATGACAGCTACTGACAACGGGGCACAGAAAGGAATGGCTGCGCATTTTTTTTGATCCTGGCAACGAAATCGCCTGAAGGTTCGATTCGATCGCTCTGCCACACTTGAGATCCGCTGCCCCTCCGGGGGGCTATCCGACCGCACGCGCGCGACAAAGCAGCCGACAGCAGTGCAATAAATAAGGCGAAAACCTACAGTAGCCCCGGACTCGGGCAATGGGGGGAGTGGAAGGAGGGAGGAAGCGGAGGAACGGCGAGGGGGAGAGGAAATGAGAAGCTGTGTGGACATCCCCGTTTGGCCTCGTCGGCCGAATAGCTACAATCACACACAGTGACCGAAAAAAAGGAGGAGGCAGAGAAAAGGAATGGCTACGCATGTCTTGTCCTGCAGGTCGAGCCTAGCAATCTGTTCTGAGAAGCAAAAGGTCTCCTCAACGAAGCGAAGCTGGGCACAACACCAGATGATCACGTAGGCCGACGTCGTCGGCGCAAGCTCTGGCCAACCCATGGTCTGGGGAGGGCAGGGCACGCCAGAGGTGACGGAGAAGGGGGTTCATGACCAGAGCCCAGAGGCTCCCGCGGAGAGGTCAACCTTGGAGCACACCACCTGCGAGCTCGCACATGGGAGTCCGGGGCGCTTCGACGAATCGAGCGAACTCTGTGGGAGCGGCGACGAGTGCAGCAATGGCCCAGCGGACTCCCAGCGGGACGCCGCAGTGGACACCGATCGGGCCAGGTCCAAACGAGCGGTTCGGGAAAGCAAAGGTCGAGGTCGAAAGATTGGAGGACCAGCCGCTTCCTATCCCCGTCCGGCAAGAGACGAGCACGCCTAGCGTCTGCACCGAGCAGTGGACTGCTACCCAGAAGGTTCCGACCCTGGATGTATCCTTGCTGGCACTTGGCAGCTCTGGCTTTGACTTGAGGCTCGAATGTGAAACCCGCTGCTGAACTCTGGACGACCGACATGGGCACGGAAACAATGGGCACAATGCCCAACAGCAAATGTTGTCCCGAACCGATAGCGGTCGCTGTTGGGCAGGGGGTCTTCTGTCTCAAATGGACACAGGCCGCGGCGACACCGACAGCGAGTCCTGTTCAAAATGAACAGGAACTGCTGTTGGGCATTGTGCCCATTCTTTCCGTACCCATCTCGGTCGTGCCGATGAACTGATGACCTTGACGTCAGCATTCTGGAGGCTGGGCGGACGAAGGTCTGGACATATCCTCGTGACTTTAGCGGCGTCCTCGGGCTCTTCTCCTTGGGCCACGAGCGCGAAGAGCGACTGAGCAGCTTCATGCGGCATGAGCAGGCCTGAATCGGTGTGCTCTGTGGGGAAGGAAGAGAGTCATCAAATGTCGGGAAGGGAGGAATGTCCTGGGACAGGAAGGCTTGATTGTCGTCTGCTGGCTCTGGCTGAGCAGGAGAGGTCTGGCGCCAGTTCACCTGCACGGCTCGAAGGACAGGAGGAGGAGGAGAAGGAGAAGGCGGATAAACAGAGGAGGAGGAGGAGGAGGAGGAGGAGGAGGAGGGTAAATAGATGAGGTGGAGGAAGAGGACCAGTGGAGGATGATGATGATGTTGATGAGGAGGAGGAAGAGAAGGAGTAGAAGAAGGAGGAGGGGATGACGTATCCAAGGGAGGATGGGGGAGCAGGAGGAGGAGGATACATATAGGAGGAAGAGAACAATGATAGGAAGAGGAGGGGCAAAATCAGCAGCAGCAAGGTCGACTGAGCGGAGGCGCTCCAGCTCCAGGCCTAGCAGCCCAGGGCCCACTGCGCGACCACGCAGCGCGCGCCTGGGGGAAGGCCGAACGCGCAATCCTCCTCCGCCTCCCTCCATCCCCTGCTGTGCGGAGGCAGGCCACCATCCTTGCCTCAGTCCTAGCCCTAGCCCTCCTCCTCCTGCTCCTCCTGCTGCTCCTCCTCCTCCTCCTCTTCCTCCTCCTCCTCCCCACCACCACCACCACCACCACCATCATCATCATCATCATCATCATCATCATCATCAGCATCAGCATCATCATCATCATCGTCATCATCATCATCAGCATCATCATCAGCATCATCATCATCAGTATCATCATCAACATCGTCATCATCATCATCGTCATAATCAGTAGCATCATCATCATCATCATCATCATCATCATCATCATCATCATCGTCGTCATCGTCATCCTCATCGGCAGCAGCAGCGTCGTCATCACCATCATCATCATCATCATCATCATCATCCTCATCAGCATCATCGCCATCGTCATCGTCATCGTCATCGTCATCATCATCATCAGCAGCAGCATCATCATCGTCATCGTCATCGTCGTCCTCATCATCATCATCATCACCACCATCACCATCATCAGTATCACCATCAGCATCCTCAACATCATCACCACTGCCATCATCATCATTATCATAACCAGCATGGGAGTCATCATCATCATCATCATCATCACCACCACCGTCATCGTCAGCATCACCATCATCAGCATCAGCATCACCATCATCATTGTCAGCACCTTCACCGCCAGCATCACCATCACCAGCACCATCATCATCATCAGCATTGTCATCAGCATGAGCAGTATCATGAGCATCATCAGCATTATCATCATCCTCATCATCATCATCATCATCACCACAATCGTGATCATCGTCACCATCACCATCATCATCATCGGCCGCACCTTCACCACCAGCATCACAATCATCATCATCAGCAGCAGCAGCACCATCATCACCATCATCATCACCAGCAACGCCACCATTCATCATCAGCATCAGCATCAGCATCAGCATCAGCATCAGCATCACCATCATCATCATCATCATCATCATCATCATCATCACCATCCTCATCAGCATCCGCATCCTCATCCTCATCCTCATTATCATCCTCATCATCCTCATCCTCGTCATCCTCATCCTCATCAGCATCATCGTCATCATCCTCATGCTCATCCTCATCGTCATCCTTATCCTCATCTTCCTAATCCTCAGCCTCATTCTCGTCTTCCTTCCCCTCTTCATCCTCGTCCTCGTCATCAATATCCTTATCCTCATCCTCATCCACCTCACCCTCATCTTCATACCCCTCCTCATCCTCATCTTAATCCTCATCCTCAGCATCATCATCATCATCGTTATTATCAGCATCTTCTTCATCAGTATCATCATTGAAATCGTCATCATCATCATCATACTCCTCCTCCTCCTCCTCCTCCGATTCATCATCATCCTCATCATCATCATCATCATCCTCATCGGCAACTTCATCCTCATCCTTATCCCATCCGTATCCGCATCCCAATCATCATCGGCATTATCATCATCATCATCATCATCATCATCATCATCATCACCATCACCGTCACCATCACCACCATCATCATCCTCATCATCATCCCTATCCTCATCGTCATCCTCATCCTCATCCGCCTGAGCATCATCACACACCTCCTCCTCCTCGTCCTCATCCTCCTCCTCCTCCTCCTCCTCCTCCTCCTCCCATTCGCCATTATCCTCATCCTCATCCTCATCCTCATCCTCATCCTCATCCTCATCCTCATCGCCATCCTCATCCTCATCCTCATCTGCCTCATCAGCGTCATCATCATCATCATCATCAGCATCATCATCATCATCATCATCATCATCATCATCATCGTCATCATTATACTCCTCGTTCTCCTCCTCGTCGTCCTCCTCCTCGCCCCTCTCGTCATCATTATTATCATCATCGTCATCATCATCATCATCATCATGATCATCATACTCATCATCATCGCCATCATCATCATCTACATCATCTTCATCAAAAACATGGTCATCATCGTCATCATCAGCATCATCATCATCACCATCCTCGTCATCATCATCATCATCATCCTCATCATGATCATGATCATGATCATGATCATCATAATCGTCATCGTCATCATCATCATCATCATCATCATCATCATCATCATCATCATCATCATCATCATCATCATCATCATCATCATCATCGTCAGCATCCTCATCATCATCATCATACCATCAGCATCATTCCGACTTCATCCTTCCTCGCTCTCCCCCTCCCTCCCCTGGCCACCTCCTCCTCCTCCTCCTCCTCTTCCTCCTCCTCCCTCCCTCCCTTCCTCCCTCCTTTCCCCCTGAATATAAAAAAGCCCGGAGCGCCCGAGTGGGTCCCCACCCCCTTCACCAATGGGCACCCCGAGGCGTTGCGGTTATGGTCCTGGTCTCTATCCAAGAAAAACGCGACCTACTCGACACAGCCTCTTGGAGGACAGGCCCAGTGGCGTTCCGCCTCTGAGTGCAAGTTCCAATTAATAACTAGATGATGCAAGAAGCAGGGGCAGTCGCGAAACTAGCGCCGCGGCAGGGGCGGCCCGGCAGGAAAAGAGAAGGGACGGAGGAGGGGGAGGGGAGCGGGGGGCGGTGATAGCCGTAGGGGTCGAGTGGCTGGTCGTGGTGAGGGTGGTGGTGATCGCAGTAGTGGTCGTAGTGGTGGTCGGACTGGTAGTGTGGTCGTGGTGGTCGTGCATGGGTGCTGGTGGTCGAGGTGGCCGTGCTGGCGGTGGTCGCATTGGTGGTTGGTGGTCGGCCTGCTGGTGGTCGTGGTGATCGTTCGGGTGGTGGTCGTGCTAGTGGATGGTCGTGGCATGAGGGCGGTCGGCGCTTACCTCCCCAAAGCGCTCAGGATCATCTCCGCGTCTCCTTGTTGCAGGGTGCGTGAGATGTCCCGCCAGATCTGGCTCAGGCGTTCGGACCGGTCGGCGTCCTCAAGGGAGGCGCTGTTGCTCCGAACGAAGCTCACTGCCTCGTCGGATGGCCGCCCCCCGATCTGAAAGACCGTACCGGTCGCGTTTGTCGTCGACCATCTGGGCTGCTGCGAGCCCATCTCCCTCCCTCCCTGCCTCCCTCCCGCCTCCTCCTCTTTCCTCCTGCCTCCGCCCTTCTTCCCTCCTGTCTCCTGCCCCGTGATCACCACGCCCTCCCTGCCGACAGCCCCAGGCGGGCGGATGGTCTGCGTCTGCACTCTGCTGACGTGCGGCCTCTCAACTGGGGTCCGAGAAGATGGGGCCGATCGTGCCATCGCCGATACATCGCCGATGCATCGGCGATGCGTCGAAGATGCATCGGTAATGCGTCGGCGACGCGGCGCGATCCTCTGGCCCCACCTGCTTGCTCGGACCCCAACTGGGAGGCCTGGACTGACTCTGCCCCCCGAGCGCCGAGCCCACTGGCCCCATCTGGGCGATCGGCGCGCTTGCGCCGCAGCGGCGCCTGGTACCGGTCTTCTCCCAGACGGTCAGCCAAGGGTTGCTGTCGTGAAGGAGCCGCGGGTCCTAGAGGAACAGAAAGCGGCACAAACATAATTTCTCAGAGGTCCACGCGGGTTTCTCGTATCGCCGCTGGACCCCCCTTCCACGGCGGGCGGAGCGCGCCAGGGGCGGCACCCGATCAGAGAAAGCCGCGCGGACCTCCGAGGAGTCAGATGTTTGTGCACTTGTTTGTTCTTCGAGGTCCACGTTCACGTTCTCGGGGTGCAGGTCGGCGATCCAGCCGGTGTACGTACCGCTGGGGTTCCGCTGCAGGTACTCCTGCAGGTGCTCCTCCACCAGCTTCAGGGACTCGTCCACCTGCCAGCACGGGAGGCTGGGGCACAGCGACACCGCCCCCCTGCGACCGGCTCGCGGGAACTTGTGCGCAACGCATGTCCTCGTGCACCGTGACGACCTCCTCCTCCTGCTCCTACTAGCCCTCCTCCTCCGCTCCCGATGCTGCCCCTTATCCCGTTCCTTCTCCTGCTCCCGATGTTGCCCATTCTCCTGCTCCTGATGCTGCCACCACTCCTCCTCCTCCCTCCTCCCCCGCCCCCTCCGCCCTCTCTCTCTCCCCTCCACTACCGTTCATCGCCGGCCCAGGTCAGGCCTCAGCCTGGTCCCCGCTCCCTCCTCCTTCTTTCCTCCTTCTCTGGAGAAACCAAGAGGTACCGATACCGCTACTCCCCGGACCTCTCGCAGAGTGCGTTCTGACCAGAATTTCGAGGCGAATCCAACCGTGGCGACGAGGGCCTGGGAGGAGGCCCAAAAAGAGGAAAACGAGGCGAGGGTAGCGGTATGGGTACCTTTTCCTCCTCTGATTCTCCACTCGCTCACTCCTCCTCCTCCTCCTCCCCCTCCTCCTCCTCCTCCTCCTCCTCCTCCTCCTCCTCCTCCTCCTCCTCCTGGGCACGATCCTGCGGTCCCTCTCCACCACGCACTACACCCTGCCTGCTCACTCGTTGGGGTAGATCAGCCTGCCGGCCGTCGCGCCCGCCGCCACTGCCCCGCAGCGGTTGCCCACCCTAGGGCGCGCAGCGCCTGCCCGCCCAGCGCCGCCAAGCACGCCGGGGCAGCGTGCCTCACGACCTCCGCCTTCAGGTCGGCGCGGAGCCGGCGCGTGCACAGGGCAGATACGCGTGGCGCCCGGCCGCACCCTGCCGTACTCGGAGCTCTCACGATGCAACGTCATGATCGTCTGGAGCGCCTCGTCCCCGAGCCGGCCGCCCTGCTCCACAGCAAATGGGATGACGCTGGCGCCGTAGTGCTGCAGCTTGTCCTTCTCGCCCTCCCGCGCCGCTACGCCCCGGGTCGCGTGCGGGCTCGGGAGCCCCGCCGCGAACGGTGACCGGAGGGTGACATCCAGGAGGAAACGGCGGCTACCGCCAGGCCACCAAACCAGCAGGTCCATGAACCGCTCGTGGATCTTGCCCTGCTCGTCGACCTTGTACAACTCCGGGATCGCTGCTTCCAGCGCGACCACAGCACCCATCGCCCGCAGATGCTTCGCGAGCACGGCCACGGAAGCCGTATGGCAGCGCAGCTGGCCTGCACCCGCGCAGCACACAGTGGGATGATGTAAGTAGAAATCCAGCGGTTCACCGCATGGGTCATCATCGCTCTTGTTCTGCAGCGCACATGTTAGGCCTGCCTGTGGTGCCGGGGCGATGCCCAAACGCCTCTTGGTAGCGCACGCCCACTTCGAGTTGGCAATGCGCAGGGCTGGCCGGTCAGGAACCGTTGACCACACCGTGCCTGTGCCAGGGCCTCCGCCTTCCAACATGCAGGTCTGGCGGTGGGCATCCAACTCTCCATGGAGCGCCGTGGCGGAGAGCGCATCCAGACCCCGGAGCATACGGCCGTAGGGGCGGCTGCCCGGGGCGGGGGGCAGGCCCGCCGTCGGCGCGCCTGCAGACGGCGACGCTGCAGCTGCCGCTCCCGTACCGGCATGCGCGGGGAACTTGAACACCTCATTGGCGACGGTGTCATGGTGCCAGGGTCCCTCCTCATACCGCCTCCGGGCAGCGGCAGTGAAGGTGGGCACGCCGTCGCGCAGCACGACGCCAGCGGCCTGCAGTGTCGCTGCGGCGCGGGCTGCCGCCTCCTCCTCTGGTCGGCCGCAGTGGCTTCTCCCCAACCCAGCCGATAGTAACGCCGCCTCGCGGGCATGCTCCGATTACGTGGACAAGAACGCCGCCGCGGCGCGCTCCCGACACGGGAGGCCAAGCGCCAAGCCGCCCAGCGAGCCTGGAAGGGTCGCCTGCTGCCGGGCTTGGCAATCCAGTGGGCCTGTGAGCAACACCTCCAGCGCATTGAGGCAAGCCTCCTCCAGCTTCGTCGCGTACGCCTCCACGAACTCCCACGGGCAGATCCGGATGCCATAGTCCAGGGCCCGGCACACGGAGCGCTGGATGATGGTGAACACAGTCTGGTCTGCTACATCATGCACGCGCGCGCGCACCATGCCCTCCAGCTTGGTCAGGTCCCGGCACGCTGCCTCCGCGCGCTTCTCTGCAGACCGCCCCATTGCCGCCCACGGCCCAAGCGCGGTCTCCAAGCGGCTCTGGGCCGCGGTGCCGAGCATCGGCAAAGCCCCTATCTCGAGGGGGACGCGTTCGAAGAACAGCTGGACCTCTTCCGGGAGGCTGGCAGGCGCTCCCACCACGTCCCAAGCTGGGACCAAGACCTTCGACTTTGCTGGGACCAAGTCCTCCTCCTCCTCCTCTTCCTCCTCTGCTCCCTCCTCTCTTGGCCCCCGCTCCCTCCTCCTTATCTCCACTCCCCTCTGGCCCTCTCGCCTCCGTCTCTCCTCCCCCGGAGCTGGACCAGCGCCAGCCTCTCCTCTGGAGGCCTCCCAAATGGGGTTGGAGTGCAGCCGAACGCATGGTCAAGAAAACCATGATTTCAGAAACCCTGGCCAGCTTTCCGCAAGTTTCTTAAAACAAACCTGGCCCAGCTTTCTTCTCCACGCTGGAGGGGCGAGCATGCTCCAGCAGCTGGGCCAGCTTTCCGGCAACCTGGTCAAGAAACGCTGGCCAAGCTTTGTGGGGGGGGGGTTCTTCATCACATGCTCGACCGCAGATGGGGTCGGACCCCCTCTGGAAGGCCTGGAGCGCCCCTCCTCTTCCGCGGGGGGCCCACCGCGCGCCGGCGTTCCTGCTCCATCGCCTCGCGCTCCAGCGCCTGGCGGCAGCCCCGGCGCCGGGGCCGGCCCGCCGGCCAGAGTGCCGGGGCCCTCGACGGGGCGCCCGCAGGTGGGCACCGATCGGGGCTTCGTGAACGGGGCATAGCTGAAAGGGGGGCTCAGGGCTTGTCCACGTGACCCCGTTTACTACCCACGGCCCCCTGAACGGGGGCATAGCCAAACGTGGAAGTCGTCGCTCTCCGTGCCACTGTTTGCTGTGCCCCCGTCTCTGGCGCCCTGAGCCGAGGACGAGTCGTGAACCGAGGACGAGCCGGGAGGGCCAGGTATATGCAGGGGTGTCCATGTATAGCAAGGCTGGGACTTTCATTTCGTCCTCTTGCGATTCGTCCTCTCTCGTTTCGTCGTCTTTCGTTTCGTCCTCTTTCGGAATCCTGACGGAGCGGACGAGTTGAAGCGGACGAAACGAAATGGGCATGGAGGGCACGAGGTTGACCAACCAAAATTCGTGTCGCGGACCTGGCGCTCGCGCAGATCGGTCGGGCAGGCACAGGGCAACTGCGCAGTGCATTACTGCACGGCAAGGGGAGGCGAAAGAAAAGCGGCGGCAGCCGCGGAGGGAGTGTGAGAGGGGGGGCGGGGGAGGCGGCCCACTCAGGCCATGCAGGTCTTGTGGCGGCGTGCAGCGGCCCGGGCCCCAGGGAGTGCTGGAAGCGGGGCGTGTCCAGTTGCGTCCAAGAAGAAGCTGCGCAAAGGTGCAGAGCTGGGTGGCGATCCGAGCAGGTTGACATTGACAAAAGCGAGGCTGAAAGACCCCTCGTAGACTTGACCTCTAGCTGCCTTGGCCTGGCAGGAGGTTGGAACAAAACACGAAGTTGAAAGAATCCTTCAAATCTTGATCTCTAGCTGCCTCGGTCTGGCACGAGGCTGAAGAAAAAGGCGTGAGGCTGGAAGAAGAAGCATCGCCCTCTAGCTGCCTTGCCCGCACGCTGCACAGCCTGCACGCGGGATTACCGCAGCCGCCTCTTGCCCGGAAGGGGGCCCAGCGTCCGAAACGCGCCGCCTGCAAACATTGGCCGAGATCGGTCGTGTGCCAAGATGCGAGGGCAAGGGCAGGGGGGCAGCGATGCAGGAGTGCACGAGTGCCGCCCCTGCTCTGAGCGGCGGCCGCCGGTGCCGCACTCCGCTCCCTGAGCACCCGCGAGTTTCCATTCCATGGGGAGGCCGCCCCCCCCCCCGCTTCGTGTGGAATCCACATGGATCCACTTGTCGCACGGATGCGGGGCGCGCCAGGAGCTAACGCGCCAGGAAGCTCGCCTGGGATAGGCGATCGACATTTTATCCATGCCCCTGCTCACGCTCCGACCCCACGAGAGGCCAGAGCGGTGGCATGGATAAACTCTGGCCTCTAAGACCGCGTTTTCTGTTCATGCCCTGCTCACCCTGGCGCTCAGAGCGGGGGGGGGCAGCAGGGGTGTGGATCGAGCGTCGATCGCCGATGGGAAAGACGTCTCGGCTGCACGTAAGAGTGACCCTAGGCAAGAGGGACCATTGAAGCTTTTCGGGGGCCGCGGGGAGATCCAATCCGAGCGCGCAAGCCGCTGCTACCGTGTTGCGTTGAGCCATCTGGGGGCCCCAGTGTGCCCGCACCAGCGGTCACTCCAGCGACAAGTCGCTCTCACGTATAGCCGAGACGCTTCCCCGGAGGTTCCCCCGTCCTTCGAGCCCAGAAGGTGCCGGCACGCATGCGGGGAGGCCGCCCACCCATCCCTGCCGCGGGCGGCAGCTGCCGGTGCCACGCCCCGCTTCCAGGGCACCGGGGTCGCCTGGAGTCGCGCCTCGCTCCGCGCGAGACGACAGGCGCGCCCGTCTCCGCGCCCTCGCGCCGCCACCTGGAGAGTAACGGCTCTCTGGCTCAAGCCGCGAGTCGCGACGCGCGGGTATCGTCGCGCCCCTGTGGGTCACCCGGGAGGGCGATGTTGATTAGACGCCACGCTCCGCTTCCGAAACACGCTGGCGCCGAAGGCGCTTCCACACTTCATTAGAGCAGATTCGCTCGCGTATCGCCCCTGCCTCTCAAGGTGTGGCAATGCGCCCAGAGACACCCCTCAGCTCGCAAGCGTGCACCTTTCCTCCATGCTACTGTGCCCTGCTGCTTGGGCCCCCCTGGCTCCTCCTCCTCCTCCTCCTTCTTTTTCTTTTTCTTCTCCTTCTCCTTCTCCTTCTCCTCCTCCTCTGTCCTCTGTCCTCCTCCTCCTCCTCCTCCGCCTCCTCCGCCTCCTCCGCCTCCTCCGCCTCCTCCTCCTCTTCCTCCTCCTCCTCCTCCTCCTCCTCCTCTTCCTCCTCCTCCTCCTCCTCCTCCTCCTCCTTCCTTCCTTCCCT